GGCGCTCTATCACAACACACACTCGCCGCGGGAGAGGCGCGCCGACACGGGCGCTACACCTGCACAGGAGCGGCCGGCGTCGGCAGTGCGTCGAGCCCGCGACGACGTCCATCTGGCGGGCGTAAATAAACAGCCCTCGCTCGGCCAGGTGCCGGCGGCCCGGGCGATCACTCGGCGCCGGCCGTTGGCGGCGGCAGGCCATGCACCATCGGCCGCCGCGTGACGAACAGGTGGGCGTGGGGTGGGGTAGGATGGGGGGCTCAGTACAGCCGTTCCCGGGACCGGCAGGAGTGTCGGCAGCCGCTGCTGTCACGCATATCTGTTCTCGGAATTGCTGTTCTGAACCCGGCACCGCCTATTGCGTAAGACAGAGTGCTGTCCTCTTTCGGCAGCGAGTCGGTAATCGATGTACGCTGTGGCGCACACAGTCTGCAGCAGCGGCAGTCGAGGCGTCCACATGCGCACCCACCTTGCGACGTTCTGTAGAGGAGGAAGGGCGCCTGCAGCTGGAACTCCAGCTCCTTGGTGAGCGGGCTGCAGCAGGTTCTTCGTGTTCAAACGGTTGAGCACCATGAAGCTGTGGTAGGGCGGACCCGACCTGCAATACGAACGCTCGTGATGACGCGACTACACCAATCAGAGCGCCAATAGGGATTGATGTTGGCAGGATTTGATACGTCTGCCGGTCGCCCACGGCCGCCAGGGGGGGGGGGGGGACCGGCCAGTCAGCTCCACCGCACGTCCGCGCGAGGCCTTCGTCGAGAATGAGCGAGCTCTCCAGCTGGTCCGCAGAGCCGGACCGGCGACTGCGACCTGAACGGCTCCCAACTGTGTAAGCCCCACACATCTCCCACCACACGGCAGGGCACGGGCAGCGGGACACAGCGCAGCCGGCCGAAAGCGGAGGTCTGCTATGCACACTGAATATGTCTGACAATGACGAGCTGTGACTTGGCCGCAGCCGCGGGCGCCCGAGCCACGCGCCACACCCGCCATGGCTGAGGAGACGTCCGTGACCGGTCAACAGACCAGAGCAGCCTCATGGCGAGGTGTCGGTGCCGAAGCCACGCGCCACACCCGCCGTGGCTGGGGAGACGTCCGTGACCGGTCAACAGACCAGAGCAGCCTCACGGCGAGGTGTCGGCGCTGGAGCCACGCGCCACACCCGCCATGGCTGGGGAGGCGTCCGTGACCGGCCACCAAACTAGAGCAGCCTCACGGCGAGGTGTCAGCGCTGGGCCCGGGCCCGGGTGCGTGCGGCGCGAGGTCCGCTCTCCGTCGGCCGGCCGGCCGGCGGGGAGGGGCGGCAGCCGGAGGACGCCGCCGCCGCCGCCGCCAGTCGGGCGCCGCGCGCTGCGTGAGGAGGCCGCCGGCGCGACGGTGTGTCCCGGCCGACACAGGTGCGCGAGAGGGCCGAGCGACGGCACCGCCCCGGCCACCGCTGCTGACCCAGAGCCCAAGTGTCCCGTGGCGCCGCGTCCACCAGTGACACCGCACCAGCCCCCGGCAACCGCGCCCCACAGACCCGCCGCCTCCTCCGTCGCTCCCAGGTAAGCGGCGGCGTAACGTGCACGCCCACCGCCCGCCAGCACCAGCGGGCATTGTTCGGCAGGCCCGTGCGGCGGGGGTCGCCAGGGGGCCGCCGGCGATACAGCAAACAGATGGCGCCCGGGGGACCACACGAGCGCGTGGCAACGCGCCAGACGCGCCGTCTGGCGCGCTCCTCAGCAAAACACGCCCGCCCGCGCTAAGCCTTGGGCCCTTAATGTGCCATTCAGGGTGTGGATGAAGATACAACACAGATCACCGGCACGAGAAGCGGAGATTCTTGCGTCGCTTACCGAGCAGCGAACCCATGCCAAAAACAATGATTAGAGAAAGGTAGGATGAGTCTTGTGTTAAAACTCATCGCATGAAAATGACACCATGCTTTCCGTGCAAAACAAGAAAAATGACAATAACCAGTCCGTCCACTATTCATCGCGAATAACGCAGGTTGCAGAGGACGGGACGATGCTCAAGTGCAAAATGGGGCGATCCCTTTCGCTGCAACAACCGCAAGTCACCTCAGAGCACGACAGACTGGTCTTCATGTGGCGAGCTCTCAAAGCCTCACCCTGACTGATACAGTCCGCACCACCCAGGCCGCTCCATCCCTGGCACGGAGACGGTCCATGACAGCCGGGTGCGAAGTTCATCAGGCGCACCGGCCAACAGAACTGACAGCACGCGCTGGCTGTTCAGGCCGCGCCCAGCTGGCCAGCTGGTGTCCGCGGACACAGAGCAGACGGCTGACGAGCCGGGGACGGCCGGAGCCCCGCACACTTCCCTCCCTCACATCACCGGTCAGACCAGCGGCGGAGGGCCGACCGCGCGGCCGGGTGGCTGCTCACCGGCGGGTCCGGCCACCTGTGGCGGGACACGGGAGGGGGGGGGGGCGTCAGACCAGCGGCGAAGCAGCCGACCGCACGGCTGGGATAGTCATTCGCCGGCCGGTCGGGCTGCGGGGGCGAGGGTCAGAGCAGCGGCGGAGCGGCGGACCGCGCGGCCGGGGTGGCCGCTCATCGGCGGGTCGGGCCGTCTATGACGGGCCGCGGGAAGGGGGGGGGGTCAGACATCCCGGTCCTGAGGAGCAGCGGCTCCACCCGGTGCCGCGCGCCGCTGACTCAGCCGCCAGCTACAGTTCAGCGGCGACGGCGGCTGTTTTGACAACGGCCGGCCTCCTTTCAAACGTTTATAGGCGCCCCGGCGCGATCAGAGCCGGCGCCGGACGGCCGAGCGCCACCCTCTCATGGCCAGACGCCGCCCGAGGGTCGACCCCGAGCGAGCCATGCCCGTCAGCCGCGGCCGCGAGTTGCGGCTGACGGGCGCGGCTGTCATCGTCCGGCGTCAGCACCGTGCGTCAGCTGCTGTTTCGGTCTGGGACTGACCTCTGTCAGCCCGGGTGTCGGCCCGGGTGTTGGTCAGCTGTTGGCCCGCCCGCTCTCGTCTTGAGTCAGCCGTGCTCAGGCGGCACCAGCCGTGAGCTCCCGGCGGCAAAAGGACGATGCCTACGTGCGCAACGCCAACGGCACGCTACCAAACCCGCCGATGAGTCCAGCACACGAGCCAACCGCAAGCGAACGCGACCTGGCCAGGCGGCGGCTGCGCGGGGGTTGCTCCAGGCACAGTGAGGGATGATTCGGCCCGACAAACGACAAATGCAGTCGGGACGAGGCACAGCCGGCTCGATGCTCTCCGGACCGGACGACCCTCCTCCTGTAGAGGCCGAGTGCGGTCGAGCGGCGTGGCCGCCCAGGAAACCAACACCGACCTCAAACTGCGCCATCTGTTGGCCACAGCTGGCGTTCAAGGATACGCCAACATCGAGGACAAATCGCTTTTGCGTCGTGACCACTTGCGTTGGTGAGAATACTACCAATCAGCACACGTACGCGAAACCGTGACATGCGTTTCGTTCTATCGAAATACCATGCTCCCAATGATCTCCATAACTTTCTGGGAAATGACAACACAAACCTGCAGTCGCTTCTCTAATCTTTCGAACTTGTTCTTGCTTTTGAAACAGAAAATGAGGCGGTCAGCAGAAAAGCCTGGGGGGATACCCACACGACTCATCCTGACTTTATACACACGCCGATGAAGACATGTGGCCGACTTCAGCTGCTGTTATAAAGCATGTCACACCACATCACCGCGGACGTTTAGCCCAGTGCATGCCGTTTCCAGTGTCGCCGCCTTCACGGCCAAGCCAGGTTTCGCAGAAGGCAGCTTGTTTGCCGACCACGCGTGTTGTCCACGAATGCATGGACGCATCGGGCCACTGACCGGACCCTCATGATCATCGGCATTGCCAATGGTGGTCCAGCCACGCCGAAGCTGGTGCTGTCAAGCGGTGTTGCGTGATGGTGCTGCCCCGTACCAGGGCCCAAATGGAAGGTTCCATGCGCATGCGCGACCACCGGTCAACGGTCTCAGCTTCGATAACATGTTCATCAAGTCTGGTGCAATATGTTCAGAGATAGACCAAAGTAAGCCAACGAGGCCTAAACATCACAAGGCCCTTAACGTCAGCGGGCGGTTCCCAGGCTTGCAGGAGGCTTCACATTGGGAAGACAAGGCAGCGGGGCAGTCTGGCTGCTATTCCTGCAGGCTATTCTAGCCGAAACGAAAACAACAAAGTTTCTGTTATGGAAACTGAACAGATTCAGCCCTTCCTGCCAGCCCAACAATGTTTCAACCGGCCCTCTCGTCGTCAACATTCCAGCATTCCGGCACCATGATCAGTACCGAACGAAGCGTCACTTCCCCAAAGCGCATCACACAGAGACACGCGAGGCAGGAGGACCCGCTCGGCACCAGGAGAGCAGCGCCGGCCGACACTGTGCCCTGGAGGTGGGCGGCCGGACGCGGTCGGCGCGCGCCCACCCTGGCCACCCGGGCGGCCCGCGCCACGCACAGCGGGCCGGCACCGCTGTCGGGCCGCCCTGGATGACGCGCGACATGGCTCGCCCGCGACCGGACGCCAGTCGCCACATATAAGGCAGACGACCGGCGCCTGCCGCGCGCTGCTCCCTTTTCGGGGAGATGGGAGCTGAAGCAGGGTCAGAGCCCGCTCGGCACTGAGGCTGTGGACTGGGGGGGGTGGGGGGGGGGGCCTCCAGGACGCCGCTCCGGCAGCGCCCCGTCTCGCCCCCAAGCAGCTGTCCCGGGGTTCACCTGGTCGGCACGCTCTTTGCTAGGAAAAGCTGGCAATAAACAGTCCGGGGTGGCTCTCATAGAAGAGGAACGGTACCCACAGGGCGTCGAGGAAGGTGTAATTCGGCGAAGTCGTCACATGGTGCTCGTAAGGACGTTTACGAGAGATGTGCTCGGCGAAGACGGCATAACGATCCCAGTCCTTATATCCCTGAGTGGCTGGCACTGGGAAGGCAGACCCTTCTTAAGGGAAAGGACGCTAACTGGGCGACGAAATTACCAAACTACAATATCTGGCACAAGCACGCACCCCGTTGCGCTGCACTGGACCGATATGAGCGTCAGTCCTCTTACCTTTTGTAGACGAAGAGCGCTCCCTGCATGTCTGTTTTTTGCTGCAACAGGAAACTCTGTCAGACGGCTTGACTGGACACAGACCACGACATCACGGTTTTCCCTCACGTTTAATATACTGGGGCTCTGCGGGCAACGCCACTCTGCAAATACCGCACCCCATGACAGTACAACAATGACGTACCAACTTTTAAAACGTTCCACGCTGACTGTTAAGACCAAGCGCCGCAAAACACGCCGTTAAAACAGGCTATCACGACGTCAGGTGCTGAGAAAAACAAATAGCGAGGCGATGCCACGACCCTGCACGTACGCACATACACAGAGGTTGTTCGATAGGACAGCTACTTGTAGCCTCGGCATATGCAGACTTCCGACACAGGTGAGCAACACAACTCCCGAAATTAAGATGCTGTAAGGCATCCACTGGTCGCCATCTTGAGTACACAAGGCAAACATGAAGAAACCAACACCATATAGCTCAAACACGAGTCCGTCCCTAGCCCGACGGAGCGCCACCCTCGCCTCCCCAGAGTAGCACCACAGGTCGCATCCACGCGCGGGGGGCGCCACCTACCCACTCGCTGGCCGGCGAGTTGTACTCGTAGACGGCCACCTGGGTGGCGCTGTCCACAATGTCGGCCACGTACGGGTCGTGGCGGCGCACGGCCGTCAGGTTCATCTGCTGCGAGCCCACGCGGGTCGGCCATGGCGTTCTGCGGCACACGGGGCGCGCGACGCTCAGGGGCGGCGGGGCGGAGACACTGTGACGTCATGCCGCCGTCCATAGGCGCGCCGCGACAGCGCGCGGATAAGCCTCAATGGCGCGGACACGGCCAGACACGGATCCATTGGAGGCACAGCACCGGCAGGACGCTTGTCGAGCATTGCACACTGTGCAGAGACAGTGCACCATACCCAACTCCTTGCGCCACAGAAGACGGCAATGGTCTGTGAAAGCCAGGAGCAGCAGGCACTAAACAGCGATCGATGAAAGCGGCGAGACGCGCGCTCCCCGTTCAGCGATATAGAAACAGTAGTCACCCGCCCAGCAATGTCGATACAGACAGCAGCCATATGTCAGTAGTGGCGACGACCGGTCACAAATGTTCCAGGGCCAACCCTATGCTACGGTTAATTAGCTTTAACAGGAATTTGTGGTTGCCGAAAGAAAATCACCAATTTTTTGTGATTTTGTGACAAATAAAAAGTTCTATATTGGGTAACAAGTTCCCAGTGTCCCATGACCTTACAAAAGTGTTCTATTAACCCAGAAAGCTACTATCATGCCTAGAAAGGGAGGGGGAGTCCAGGATGGTGATCGGGGGTCCCTGTCAACATAGCAGCTCCAGCAGCTCAATGGCAGACCCAAAACTGAAGAGTCATGTACCGTTCTGATCAGACATCTGTTTTGTCTCTGCAGGGAGCTCAAATTGGTGCTGGAATGGGTCAACTTTTGGAGAACTCAACTGAAATCCATTCCTTCCACAATTGGTGTACATCCAGAGTTGTGTCAATCTTCTCGGCAGGCATTATGGATCAATTGAATGAACAGAAATATGGATACAAATCAATACTCTTTCTACCAACTGTAGCAGGCATGTGTAAAAGAAGGAATACTTTATATTCTTCCAGCCTTGTAATCCAAATGCACGTCTGTTGAGCACTTTCCGTCGCCCAGGACAGGTCATATGTGTACTGATGCTGGAACTTTGTGAAAAATCAAGCCAAATCTACTTGACACAGATTGAGTTATCAAAACTGGGTTTTAGCTTAACACGCGCTCGGGTGGGGGCCAATCGACCCCTTCGAAGGTTTTCAAGAACGGTTTCGAACAGCGCGGCGTAGCCGCGCCAAATTTGCGTAGCCGTAGACAATTGAATAGCAGATCGTTTGGCATCAAAAATTTAAATGCAACTTGTAAGGTCGCTGAACTATGGCAGGTCAAAGTCAGGCCATGGTTTCAGTAAAGGCAATTTCTAGGGAACCGTTCAACCAGTTGCAACAACGGAGTGTTAGACCGAAACCATACATTTCTGAGATTGCTTTCTTAGGCAAGACAACGGTTGAATGAGCAAATCACATTGACCAAAGGTCAGGTATGCAGGTCAGACCACGGTCAAAACCAACCTGTTTTATTACTCTCGGGCTCGCTGTATGGGGTTTGGAAGAGGAATTATAGATCTCTCGGGATGATTTATTGCTGTAATGATGAACATCAACAAATAATCCTGATATGATGATGAAGTATGGATCTCTCGGGAGATTACGAGGTTTACTTTTGGGCTTGCTGTACTTTAGGTCAATGACCTATTCTTACCCGACTGGTGCTCATTTCGAATGTACTGACAGCAGGAACCGCATTACACATCTTCCATGGACTTCTTAGAGGTAAGAATAGCTCATTGAACTAAAATGACCCAGGTCAACATTTTCCTTTTAATAGCAAAACTGCTAGCACCACCTATCATAATTTTTGTATCTTATTTAAGTGCAAAACTTAGAGCAGCTTGTATGATTTTGGTCACCATGATCTTCAAAACGTAAACAAGGTCACTGACCTTGATGAGCACGTGACTTTTGCTTAGAAATGATTATTTAGGTTTCTGGGGGCACTTTGGAGACCAACCTGGAATATTTAACCTTGTTTGACCTCATTTGACCCGAAGGTCATGACCTAGAAATCTGAAACCTTGACGTAAGTGAGTTTACATACAGGTCAACACACCCTGTAAATTTGGTGTCTCTAGCTCTATTAGTTCCAGAGATCTCAGGGGGGCCGTCAAATTGACCCCCACCTGAGCGAAGGGTTGCCAGCCGGCCATCCGGCGCGCGTTAAAAAGACACTTAAAATAATCCACACGCTTCGGGCTCAGAAACAAAACCATTTGATCACAGCCAAACACATTTCTGACCAGTTAACAGGAAGCTGAACATAGACTCAGACTGCACTGGACCCATAGACTCTGACTCAGGTCCAGGGCGCTGATCTCCTGCAATGTATGGAAGGAGACTCCTGAAACTCCTGCAATTCTCAAATTCATATTCACACATTTGATTCTGTTTCAAGTGCTCATCTGTGATGAGCTATTGCAGTGAACACAATTCCAAGTCTAACTATGTTCAAAGGCATGAAATCAACTTCAGCTCAATGAGAACTAATTGATTGCAGACTGTCATCCACCTTTTAGTGGCCACTCCTCAAACCCAGCTGTTACCACAGACTTCCCACTCTGACCCAGTTACCATCACAGACTTCTCTCTCTGAAGCCATCACATCACAGCTGCCATCCCAGACTTCCCTCTCCAAACCAGCTGGCACCACAGACTTCCCTCTCTGACCTAGCTACCATCACAAAGTTCCCTCTCAGACTCAGCTACCATCACCGACTTCCCTCTCCAACCAATCATTTCAGATTTCCATGCTTTGGTAGCAGCAGTGGCTTTCCTAATCCTGATGCCACTCTCACAATACTGAGATCCAGTTTATGGGGAACAATAGCTTGCAGCATAGTGCCAGGTGTGTTACTTCACGCATGACACAAAATCACAGACTGGCCCAACAAAAAGGACATTGGAACCTTTGTCGACCTCAGGCTCAAGTTACGCACACAGATGGGGGAAGGTGGTTTTTAAGGCTGGCCAGATGCGGGCAGTTGTGATCCAACATCAACCTTTGTAAGCTACTACTGTTATTCAGGAACACAGTATGGCCATTTTGCAAAACTGCTGTCCACTCAGCAATCTAGATAAGCTGTTGAAGCAAGCCCAATGACAAGCTATGTGTATTGCTGAAGAAGTGAGGTACTAGGCATATCCTTGAAGACCTCCTCTTTTTTAACCGCCTTTGCTGTAGCAAGGATGTTTTGCCAGGAAAATGTAGCAATGCAGTATACAAGTGCTTCATGGATGCACATCTTTTTTGATAGATGAGCATGTGACATAGTGTCATTCAAAGGTGACAAAAGGGCACCAACAGAAAACTAAAAAAAAACCTTGAGCAAGCAGCTTAGTGCACAAAAACACATGCCACAACCACATCCATCTGACACAAATCATACAACAAAATGAAATTTAAAAAAGAGCCAAAAACATCTAAATCCATGGATATCTGGTGTCAGAGCTCACACTAAATAGTGTCTGTTGTGTGACCCCTGACTACAGATATATAATTGTGCAATGCCAGGTTAACAGCAGAATTCACCACCATTTGGTAGCTGCAGGTACACAAATTTACTAGAAACTACTCACAAATGTATTGTTTATCCAATGACCTTGCTTCTGTGTGAGGTTCATAGATGGAATGTATGTACTCTGTTCACAAGAATAAGTATGAAGCCTGCATGTTCTGCAAGAAAAAACAAGTTTTCTCTTTGCACGATTATCATTCAACAAAGCCTTGGCAATAAAACTGGCCAACTGGTAGGCTGGTACTACCTAACTGCACTTCATCATGTTAAAATAGCATTGCAAGGATTTGCACACCTAAATTCAGGACAACAAATGCTTAGGAAGAAGCAGAGAGGTGAGTTACCAGGCATTTATGACTAGTTTGAATTAAAAAAACTACATAAAAATTCAAATATTGTTTCTGAGGTCACCTGAATTTGAGAACCATTTTAATGATTATATAAACCTTGATGCACTTTTCTCAATTATGCTTGGATGAGATACTGAATTTTGCAGATTGTTGGAGACTTCCCCAACTCCCTCCCTGCAGCAGAGCTCACAACTGGTCCCTGCCTGAGAATGGCATCTGAGTGAATCTGCAAAAACATATCTCCAATGCTCTAGAAGACCACATTTTGTCAGTGTGCTGAACATTCCACTTACATCCTCCAAACTCAGCTAAGCCAAATTGCACTGAATTTACACATTTGTTCAAGAAATGTTCTTGGAATGAGAATGGCTACATAATATGATATTTGAGCAATAAAACACTCACAAATGGCTCAAATTACCTTTGTAGCATCATATTTCTAAGAAAAATTGTCTGTGTTCAAATTGATGAAAACTGTGTTATACTTCACTGAGCACTCATCTACAGTGAACAGGCAGTGAAATTGTCACCATAATGTTGCTGCTTTTCTGGACATTTCAAGTACAAATTTTATTTTAGCTGTCTAGCCTCTGGCTACTGATGAGACAACTGCAGTCATCAGGCCTCTACAATTGGTTATCCGATGTGTGCTGTGCAGCCTTCAAAATGAAAGGCATTCAATAAGACCAAATCCTGGACCATATCTTGTCTCATCTTTACGCTACTGACAGCTTGAAACATGAATGGGTGTCACACTGTTGAACTATGACGCATGCCGCAGGGCACACATAATCTGCACAATTTGATTTGAAGTCAGCAATCGGAAAACAGCGAATGGCAGCGAGAAAGAAATGGCTTACCTCTTTACAACACTGAAAGAGCTCTGGCAATCGGCCTTGAAAGGCCAACCAGTGATTTAAACCGTTTTTCTTCCTTTAAGATGCCAGGCACACGAAGTTTGCACCTATCCCAAAACCCGAACTGGCACCCAGCGCCCCGCTCGAACACTCACCGGGGGCCCCAATTTCGCGTCACCTCAAAACCTCACGCACACCGGCGCTGAGACGCAGTGCGCCAGTATCGTCAAAATACTGGTGTGTTCTACTCAAGTTCTACTTTGTCTTAAAAACTGTCGACAACCACATTGGTCTATATGTT